GACAGTTTGACTTCTTCGTTTCCTATTTGGATGCCTTTTATATCTTTCTCTTGCCTAATTGCACTCGCTAGGACCTCCAATGTTATATTGAATAACAGTGGCAATAGTGGACAGCCTTGCCTTGTTCCTGATCTTAGAGGGAAAGTTTTTAGTTTTTCACCTTTAAGTATAATGTTGGCTGAAGACTTGTCATATGTGGTCTTTATTAAATTAAGGTACTTTCCTTCTATACCAATTTTGTTAAGTGTTTTGATCATAAATTGGTGCTGTATCTTGTCAAAGGTTTTTTTCTGCATCTATTGATATGATCATATGATTCTTAAACAGTGAATTTTACCCCAAAACAGAAATGATTAGTCATTCATTAATCCCCATGTGCCAGCCAGGCCTTTTCTTGGAAATGGGTCCACTGGTTGGTGTTTCCCGTCATCGTTTTTGCTTAAACCACACCTGTAACCTGTAACATCATCTAATTTGCAGCTTTGGTTTATATAATGTATAGCAAGAACTCAGACATTAATGAGCTAATCTGCACACAAAAACCTTCTGGAGCCTTTTATAATCATCTCGCTGATTTTTAGAGACTCACTTTTGAGTCTTCCTGAAGCATTCGACTTGGTGTTCATAAGGAAATTAAAAAAAACAAACTTCTCTCTTCTAATTGGCTTACCTAATATTTAATTAACTTATATGATTATAAGAACTAACTAATAGGCATGCGTAGGTTTGGAGGCAAGCAGCTGGCTACTGGCAAGCTGGCAACTCAGCTGGGAGAAGAGGGAGGGGCAGTGAGCAGTGCCCTGTCCTGGAGCATCAGTGCTGGGCCAGTGGAGAGAGCTGGTCAGCTCAGCTGTCAGTTCAGGGGAGGTCAGTTATGAGCCTCTGCCACCTCATCCCCATTTTGCAGACAATAGGACTGAGGCTCTGAGGAGTGAAAGGAAGGAGCCTGGGCACAAAGAACCCGAGTCGGAGTCCTAGAGAGATTCCAAAACGTGGGATCCACCTCTGGCCTTCGTCTTCTCTCAGGAAGCCAGAGGGATGTGATCTGCACCAGCCAGCACGGGTTCAGATTCCAGGTGGGGGTGAGGGTGGGCAACTGGCCCCTTCTTAGTTCTTCCTGGATTCTCTCTGAGTTTGGTCTTAGTTGGGTCTGAATTCGACTTCTCTCCCCCAGAGAAGGCTTTTTGGAGCATGACATCATCTTTTCCCTGTCCTTCCTGCTGGATGATCCCGAGAAAGCCTGCCGGAAGAATCTGCACGTGGTATTCAAGCACCTGGCCCAGGTGCCTTCAGGTAGGCTTGCAGTGGGCGCTTGGGCGGCCCATTGGTCTCTTCTCCGGGTCGAGCATGTGCCACAGTGCAGATCAGAGTCTAGGGCATATTTTAAAAAAGTCATACTTTAATTAAGGTGTAACAGACATATTAAAAACACATAAATCATACATGAACATTTGATTAAGTAGTACTAAGCAAATATGCCGCAGAATTACTACCCAGATCTAGACATATGTACAGTATTGCCAGCTCTCCAGAAGCTTCTCACACGCACCGACCATACCAGTTACTACACATCATCCACAGGTAAACAGTATTTTTGATTTATAAGATCGTAGATTAGTTTATGCCTCTTTTAAAATTTCATGTAAGTGGAAACATACAGTTTGTCATATTTTGTTTCTAGCTTCTTCTGCTTAACATTTTGTCTCTGAAATCCACGTATGTTATGTGTTACTGATTTTTACCGATTTGTACTGGAGTGTGGTATTCATATGAGTATACCACAGTTTACCTATCCACTAGGTAATATAGTTTATTATCCATTGTTGCTGATGGGCATTTGAATCATTTCTACCAAGAACAGAGCCACTTTAAACATTCTTACAAATGTCTTTGGACATCGTATACATTTCTTTTGAGATATACCTAGGAGAATTGCTGGGCATAGGATAAGTTTATGTTCTGTTAGAAGGTACTATAAATGGTTTTGAAAAATAGTTACACCAATTTACACTCCCCCCGCCCCCCAGTAGTGGGTGAGAGTTCCAGGTACTATCCTCAGTCACACTTGATCTTTCCTGGTATTTTATTTGAGCTATTTTGGTAGTGTCTCATTTTGGTTTTAATTTATATTTCCCTGGTGATTGTAATCCTGTAAATGTCTTTTGTGAAGTACCATAGCATGTTTTTAAGGATTAAAAAGGCCTGACCCAAAGGCCAATCTACACCCTGTCTCGACGTGTTCCTCCCACCCTGCCCCAATTAGATGTGGAGTCTAGGGTAATAGCCACCAGCTGGCAGCAGCTAGAGGGCTGAGATTTGTGTCAGATTGACATCCTCCCTGTCATGTGAGGCAATGAGCATTTTAAATAAGAAGCTCATTCAAAGAACCATGGTATCAGGCCTTAAAAGGGATGCTTACAGACAGACAGACTTTGTGGCCCAGGAGTCAGACAGACCTGGGTTCTCTCTGCCCTGCCCCTCATTCCCTGAGTGTCTCTAGACAGGCTATTTGATCATCTCTAAAGTGAGGCTGAGTCTACGGCCATGCTACTCTGAACAAGCCCGATCCCTTCTGATCTCGAAAGCTAAGCAGGGTCGGGCCTGGTCAGTACTTGGATGGGAAACCACCTAGGAAGACCAGGCATAAAAAATAAAAAAATAAGGGATTGTAAGCTGATAAGGTCCTTGCAATCTGTGAGGTCAACCAAGGGTTGCCTCCCCTAAAAAAATAAAACAAATAAAGTGAGGCTGATAGTAGCTGCCTTGAGGCCCGAAACGAGAGTCAAGTAAAAAGATGCTCACCAAGCATGTAGCACAGTACCCCCCACCCCACCAAGCGCGCCATAAACATTCAGGGCCAGGAGTGAGCACTCCCCAAATTAAGGTCCCCGAGAGAAATGACGATGGGATCAGGTAAAGAGAGGCAGGTCAAAAGGAGTGGAGGCCTGGCAGGGGGGTGCTGGATGTGGGGGAGCATGCTAGGCTGTACAGCAGAACCCTCTGGTGGTCTTTGAAAAAGACCGCCCTATCCCTGGCTGGCAGAATCTTCTCTGGGGCTCTAAGAGTGGGGCCCTACACACATCTTCCTTAAATGGACTTTGGCCGATTCTCCTGTTTGGCTCTGGTTGAGAGACACTGGGGTAACGGGGTGTCGCTGTGAAGGACCAGTACTTCCCTCATTGGAAACCTTTAAAGCATTCAGAAAAGTAGAGAGATGATGATAATGAACATCTGGTACCATCACCCAGCTTTGCTAAACCTTAATATTCTACCGTATTTCATATATGCTTGAGATTCTTGTTCAAAGGTAATAGTATAGTCCAAGAGCCCCACGAACCTCCTCCACTCGCACCCTTTCTCCTGCCCTCCCAGGAGCCACAAATAATTCGGTGACTATACCTCCAGCACATGTCTATATTTTACCAGAGATGTAATTGGATATAGATCTTTCCTTGCATGTTTTCAAACTCTATGTAAATGGACCTTGCTGTATGTATGTCTTCGCTACTTAAAAAATGTAACGTTATAATTCTGCGATTTATCTATGTCATGTCGTGGGCTCTATTTCATTATGGTAACTGCGGCATGTCCTTCGATGTTTGGATTTATACTTAACGTGCAATATACTCACCCTGTCGGGCTGACAGACGTGTCGGCTGTTTCCTCTGAGTGTTTTCCTGGAGTCCCTCCAGGGCCTCCCCTGGAGGAGGGCGTCGCGGGGCACGGAGGATGCAAACCTCAGCTTCCTGATATTGCACTTGCTTCCCGACCCAGCCAGCTGCATCCTCGCCAGCAACCTGATGATGTGCTACACCGAGTCACTGTTGTGTGGCTTCGCTGTCCCCTGTGACCGGGAGAGGGGGGCATCTTTCCTCTGCCTGGCGCCACCCTGGTCTCCTCCTGGGAATCGGAGCCCATTCTGCTGAGTTGTTTTTTCTATTTCTTATTGATTTAAGGGAGTGTTTCATTTGTCCTGGGTTCCAACCCTTTGCTGGTTACACGCACTGGAAATATTTCCTGGGCTGGTTGTGTGGCTTTTCGCTGTGTATTTGTTTACTCATCGGTTTAGCTGGTTTTTCATTTGAATGTAGTCAGTTTCATCAATCTTTTCTCTGTGTGTGTGTGTGTCTGTGTGTGTGTGTTTGTGTGTGTGTTTGTGTGTGTTTTGCAGGGTGGTGGGGTTGCTGTTTAAGAGAATTTGGTGCTGTATAAGAGCTCATGAAGAAAATCTGCCATATTTTCTTCTAAAAGAGTAAGAGTTTTGCTTCTCACATTTAGCTTGTGAAGGTCCCTGGAACTGGTCTTCTTGTCGAGCCCTTGCCAGGTCAACGTTGTCTTAATTACAAAAGCTCTGTGGTAATCTGGGGTTTGGTGGACAGGTCCCACCCCCTCTATCTCCTTCCTGCAACATTTCCTGGAATCTACAAGCTCTGGGTGCATCTCGAGGGGCAGGGGGGCTGTGGTTCTGACAGGCCTCATCAAATGTGTTGAGGTATCCGGGGGCCCAGGTGGTGAGGCTTGGCTTTTATCATAGGATTTCCTGGGTGCTGCTCATGGTGATGTGCCCAGAAGGGAAGCCGGGGACACTCTGGTGAGGGACATGTGGCAGTGGGCAGGGTGGGGGTGAGGGTGACTAGCTGGAGGAAGGAAGGGAGATATGCAGTGTGGTGGGTGCCTTTGGCAGTCCATCTGGTGGTGGTGGTGGGGTGCTCTGAGAGCTATGGATTCTGGGTTGGCCAGTGTGGCTGTGTCCTTGAGGTTGTTCTCACTGGGTCTCTGTGTAGGGGTCTGGGTGGGGTGAGGGCACCTGGTTCAGTGGCTCCAGTCTTACCAGCGTGTCTCTAGGCAGGAGCAAAGCCTGTCAGAGCCTGAGTTTCATCAGTGAGCATGGGTAGCAACAGGTAGCATGGGCGTCTGTGTTGTTTGGCTGAGACAGTCTGCACTTGGGGCTCAACTGGCTCTTGTACTGCGGTTGTTAGTATGAGTTTTCTATCCATGGCCACACTGGCAGGCACCTTCTGCACTTGGTGGAGCACTTGGCATGTGCCTGGCACTCAACAAATGTGGGTTGTTAAGCAGGTTTTATGCCATATTTTTAAAGACTCTTAGTTATTTTCTTGCTGCAATACTCACTCGCTCACTCACTCACTCACTCATTCCCTCATTTGTTTGACAAATGTGTTGGGGTATCTGGGGTGAACAGAGATTGTCCCTTTGAATCTTTGCACTTGGTAGGGTCTGGCTTGCTGTGTTGTTTCCCTGAGTCACCACCAGGGGGAGCCACAGGACTGATAACGGCCTGACAGGGCTCTGCTGTGCTCTTGTCAGGCAGGAGAAACCAGAATGGCAGAGGCAAATGCCACACAGAGGTTGCCAGCTCAGGCTCTTCCTCAGCTGGACCCCGAGCGCCTGCCTGTGATTCTGGAGGAAGTGCGTCTCTTCCCCTGCTTCTGCTAACCTCGTGTGGAATGGGTCTTATTTTGTGGCTAGGTGTTCAGCTCCAATGCTGAAATTGAGGATTCTTCCTCACTTCTGGAGTGCAGCTGAATAGCCTGGAGTCCCCGGAAGTGTCCCCTTACCAGCCCCACTAGCTGTGGGCCAGGCCCCCTCTCTGTGGGCCAGGCCCCCTCGGTCCCTGACTGGCACACTTGGGAGTCTGGCCTATGAGCCACACTCTGAGCCACTGGCTTTAGCCACAGCACGTTGCAGAGACCCTTGTGTTCAGCCTGGGCTTGGGGATGTGGTGGGGGTGGAGGCAGCTGCCCCTCCCCATCCCGAGAAGACCAGCCTCAGAAAGAGGGAGATGGCTGGGCGCAGGTCTGATCCTGCTAGTCCTGAGGCACAGGAGGACATCCCTGGAGTCGTGTACCATCTGGGCTGGAGCGAAATCGGGAGAGCTGAAGCCATGGTGGCAGCACAAGTCCAGGCGGAGTGGTCGCTCGGGAGGCAAAACAGGGTGCTGGTCCCATTCTGCAGTGCACAATTCCACCTGGCGAGGTGACCCAGAGCAGCCTCCGCATTCCACCCCCCCCCCGCCCTCCGCCCCAGCCCTGACGCTCAGGGTGGAGGGGCAGGGCTGACTACCCTTCTCATTGGCTTCAGGCCTGGGGCCACCAGGGCTCTGGGTGCGTCCTCAGCATAACCGTCTTTTGATAGGCATTTGCTCCCTTCCTGGACTTAGCAAAGGATGATGCCCACCAATGGTGACGCTGCCGACCCGAGTCCCAGCTGAGAAAGCCCTCCCCTATCTAACCCCGTCAAACCTGGCCACAGTCCCGGCGCCAGTCCGTTTT